AGAGAGAGGAGAGAGAGAGAGAGAGAGAGAAGGCGGGTTTTCACTCACAAAACGATGGTCTCGTTCCATTCGGGATTCAACGAGGATTTGATCGTCTTCGTTTTCTTCTTCACGGTGTCCGAATCTGGAATCAACTTCAACTTGACGTACGGATCCGACAATCCGTTTGGATCCATCGGAATCAAATTTCGCCCCTGCTTCACTGGAAACACGATACACAGAAAACACGTCACGCGTCTTTTTTCCACCTATCGTTTCAAGCCTTTCAACCTTCTTCTCGCGCGTGGATTATCTATCCACGTACGTACGTACGGAGGAGAGATAGGATGGGAAAGGAAGATCTCATCCGCGATAATTAACGTGCCGGCCTTGAATCGGAGGAGGTTTTAATTTGACCGGTAACAACGATCTAATAATATACAAAGATCTTGGGTTAGTCGCGTCGAGGCCCTATTCCACACCTCTTCAATACCCGTTTGACGAAAGCGTCAAGTCGATAAATCGATTCGAAGGTATTTTTAATGCCAATCACTCGCGGGAAAGCGAGTGAAAAAGATTAATAAATCCGTTTAGAGACCTTGCTTACGCCATACTCGTCGGATCGTCCGTGGGTTTGTTGTTGTTAATAAATATAAATAAGAAAATTATTTCTCGAGAAAAGAAGGAAGAGAAAGAATGAAAGAAAAAAAAAAAGAAAAAAGTTAGGGAATCGATCGCGAAAAAAAAGTTGAAAGCTCGAGAAATTATACGATAAGATAAGGGAGACTCTACTTACCTTCGACTGTGAGCTTGCTTCCGGAGCACGAGATGTACAAGTTTATACGACCACGTCTCTCCGTATGATCGCATCCGCAAAGATTCGGCACGCTCTCCTCGCATCTCTTGTGAACGTTCATGTCGCATGCTGCACGTTATTAGATCATGATCGATTATAATCGTGGCCCAACGTTCGCTGGCACGTTTACGTTGCAACCAGACCGGCAATCTCGTATATCTATTTTCTCTTATTTTCATTCTTATCTTTTTTTTTTTCCCTTTCATTTTTTCCTCTTTTTTTTTCTTTTTTCTTTCTTTTTTTTTTCATTTTTTTTTTACACGTTATTTCATACTATTTTTTTCTCTCTCTATTTTCTTTCTTTGGCATTTTTGCCTAAAAAGTGTTGGTTCGAGCAGCAGTTGGGATGCAGGACAGGGGCGCGGTTTTTCACGCGTTTCACTCGCTATCAGAACTGCAGCTGCCGACCGTTTCTTCCTTTCTTTTCCTTTCCTTTTCTTTTCTTCCCATCCCCCCCCCTCCCTCTTCCGTTAATTATCAGTTCGGTTCAATTACGAGCAAGTACTCATTCGAAACCCGTTCGTTTCCCTTTTACTTTTCCTCTCGATGGAGAGAAAATGAATCGAGACGCACGATCGCGGCTGCAGTCGAAAGTGCACACGCGCGAAACTCGACGAACAACCGTTCGAAACATGCTCGATTGAGACGGTGGTTCGTGAAGGATAATGGAACGGATTACGAGGAGATTATCGTTTCCATTCCACATTTCGTCGAGGAAGGAAGAAGAAAAAGAAAAGAAGAGAGAGAGAGAGAGAGAGAGAGAGATAGAGAGAGAGAAATTATTACGATAACAATCCTCGTAATCCTGCGAAAGGTGGAATAATGCAACGAGAAGCGGCCACTACGATAAACTACGTGTGGTCGTTGTACGCTTGTAATTGTCAATTGGACAAATCGTTACATACTACATACATTCGGTGTCGATAGAGTATAAAAAAAAAAAAAAAAAAGGAAAAATACAACGATCGCGAAATATTACACATTTACATACATATACATGTAAGTCGTGCATATGATCCCCTCGAGCCGCGGAACATTAGGGGATAAAGTCGAGACAGAGAATCGAAATCGAAAAAATACGTGTATACAAGTGTATTATATATGATACGTGTTGGTCGAATAAAATCTAATATTAAGGTTGACAAGTATAAATATATAACGGTCTGTAAATAATGCCCAATGAGAAAGAGGGTTGTTGCACACCGATCGAACAGGAGTGTGTCGTGTTGCACGCGTTCGGTCGATACCGAGCGAAAAAGAAAGGTATAAATCTACTACGTTATATACACGTATTACTACTACAACGACGAACATGCATCGTATATACAAATCGTGTGGACAAGAATCATATATGTACAAAGATCGAGTTGAAGAAAAAAAAAACAAAAAGAAAAAAAAAAATTCACGAGATATCGTACGCAAAGTGTCGGTAAAATACGTAACAGAGGTAACATTCTACGTGTATACATATAAAAGGCGATGAGCTCTCCCGACTGTGCGAGAGAACATGGCAAAAAGAGCAATGGGACAAGCAAGCGAGGGGGGAGGGGGGGAGGGGGAAGGGGCTAATAGGCGAACGACCAAGTGCAAGGTTCCCGGCTTCCATCGTAGTCGGAATATCGTTTTACACCGATCGAACGTGTGCGGAACCAAACACGAGCAACAGGCTAGCGTTTCTTCCCTTGTAGTTATTCGTTCTAATAATCGAATACGAATACCTTGTGATATAATATTACCGCGTTTTGATCGAACGCGAGGAGTTCGCAAAATTTTTAATTTCGTTCGTTAAATAAATGAACGAGAATGAACGAGAAAAAGGAACAGCGAATCGTGAGGAGACAAGTCGACGAAAGTCGAGATGATGAGACACCACCGAGAGAGTCGAAGAGAACGAGACAATTGCGAATACGAAAGTGACAATGGCGACAACGACGATGACGAAAACGACGACGAACAAGACGAAGACCAAGATTATAACGACGACGACAAAGTCTACGATGAAAACGAGTTTGGAGAAATCGCGGAAAATGTTGGATAAATAAATGTTAAAAAAAAAAAAAATTTTTTTTTTCACGCGTCGACGTCGCTTCCCTGCTCTAGTCCAACCGATTATATCCGTATAAACGTAAGCAGGTGTTGGAAGGCAAAAAAAAAAAAAGAAAAAAAAAAAAAAAAAAAATAACGTTTTTCTCGTTACGAAACGAAGAAGAAATGGAAAAAGATAACCGCGGAGACGAGGAAAATAAACGTGAACGTGGAGGAAAGAGAAGATGGATCGTAAACGTGAATTGAAAATTCGTAGAGAAACTGGAGCTTGCGATTCGTGAAGGGGAGGGGGAGGGGGAGGGGGAGATAAAGTTAGGGAAGAGGATAGTGGAAGATCGATAGTGAGAGGCGAAAGCGAAGCTCTATTACCGCGTTATTTTGGATATTTAGGTGGGAAATTTCGAGCGAGAATTTGTGTTCGATTAACTACTATGTAGTCACGGAAGAAGAATACCAGCGAAGATCAAGTTCGTAATACGGGACGGTATCGCGATCCAACTGGATCCGAGGTGGAGACAGCGCCAATCTTGTTTTTTTTTTTTTTTTTTTTTGCGACGCGAGTAATGGATTAATCGAGGATATTAAA